GACCTAGCAGTGGGGAAAGGATCTAGGTGAAGAAGGACTTGAATGCTTTATTTCATGACACAATAAAATCCCAAAGCCAATATGTCTCTCATTTTGCTTGGTAGCTGTCAAAAATCTCAGAGCAAAATTTAACGTTAAAAAAAAAAAAATGTACCATTCCGTGCGATAACTCGGTCATCCAAGGTACGCTGTGCACAACCCTATTTTTTAAAATTGATTTTCATTCTTACCACTAGTTTAAGCAAAAATAAATAATAATAGTAATAAAATCGATTTTCAATCTATCTCAGAGGTTCCATCATATAGTATTGTAATATTACAAGCCGCCTCCAGTCCTTTCAGGAAGAAGGGAGAGTACGATGATGAACCACAGCTCTCTGCCTCCCACTTGGAAAACTCTATTCAACCTTTGAGGTCCGGTTTGCTCGAAGCCTCCAGACAGGACTGAGCACGTCCTGCTTGGCATTCTCCTTCCAGTCTGTCTGTCCTGACATCCTCGTGTCTGTGAGTCCTGTCGTGTGCTTGTCTCTTTTCTAGCCTGCAGCTCCGTGACAGGCTTTCGGCCCCACAGTATCTGGCACAAGATCTCGGTAAGTGTTGGTCACATGGATGGTGTTTGCGTTTCCATGCGGGACGCCTAAACCTTCCTGCAGCCTCCCCGACCACTACCCCAAATCCAGTCCACTCTGTGTAGTCTGTATCTTTCTTAATGTCACCCCTATCTTTGGAGGCTCAAACTCTCCTGCTCCTCTTTAATTCCTTCTCCCACATCACCCCATTCTGACCAGGTCCCGTCCACTCCGCCTCCAGGATCTCGCCACTTCCCTCCGACTGCACCACTGCTCTCCTAGTCCAGACCTTCCTCTCGACAGAGACCAGAGCTTCCCATCCATCTTCACTCCTCAGCTCCCAACTTCTGCTGCCGAAGCCCATCACACGTCTAGAGCCCCGCCACATGCCCATACCGTGTCTAGCCCCGAGGGCAAAAAAACCCACAAGACACAGTCTCTCCTTTTTGGGAGTTTTACAGACCAGTGGGAGAAACAGATGCATAAACTGATTGCTTCCATGCCTCGTAGACAGAGGCATGAGCAGAGTGCAAGGAGAGCCAGAGAAGGGGTGTCTAGACCAGCCAGAGGCGGGTGGGGAGTGGTACTTAAGGACCGAGACGCTGCCAGGACCCACTTCCTGCAGCACAGCTTTGGTGTCAAGACCAAGGCCCTTCACAGCTCCGACGGCCGACAAGAACGAGTCCACGTCCCAGCACGTGGCCTTCCGTGATACAGCTTCAACCCGCCCTCTCCAGCTTTGCTTCATGGGGCCTGTGCTCAGGGCCACCAAATGGCTATGCAAGCTGTGCCCTGCTCTGCAGGTGGTGTAGGGCTGTGTCTGCATGGAGGGAGCACCTTCTCCTGGCCAGCAGTAGCTCTGCCTGGGCTCCACTCCCGTGCCCTGCAGGGCCCTGGTCTCTGTCTGATGACACCCTGCCCTCCCTGAAGACGCCCCTCAAACACACCTCCTCCAGCGAGTTTGTCTGGATCCTCCAGACAGAACGGTTCTCTCCCATCTCTGGGCTCCTCCAATCTAACGCTCTCCCAACCGCACTATTTCGCCTCACTCTTTCCTGGACTCCTCGAGCGTGTCCCCTGGTCACCTCCAGTCTCAATTGCACTCTGCCTCATGTTACTGCCGTTCGCATCCACGCACCTTGGTCACCTCCTCGAGGGGGGAGACCGCTCCGCCCAATTTTGCATCCATCATAGCACCTGCCACCTTCTTACACAAAGCAGGTCTTTAAAACACATCTGTGGGACACAACTGCTGCCACCCAGCAGTGGAGCCACTCATCACAGACCTTCCTCCAGACGCACAACATCGAGGCGCTCATTCACTCATTCACGTAATAACCAATGATCAGCTACTTTGTCTATGCGCCGCGCCTCTCGTTAGAGTGTGGGACCTGTGTGTCCGACGCCGAGCAGGTTTCCAGCCACACACAGGGAGCACCTTGTGTGTGCCTGACACAGAGCACACCGCAGTCGGCGGCGGGACGAGAGATGCCACGAGCGCGAGCCTGTGACATGTGGGGTGGCAGGTCGCTGGGCTGAAGATGAACGAGACGTGATCTGTGCCCTGAAGAATGCATGATTATTCGACACCCTCATCACCGTCTTGCTAGGTGTGGAATCTCAGCTCTTATGGAGGAACTGGGAGGACAGCAACCATCCTCTGCGTTCACGCTGCTCAGACGTTCCCACCAAACTAGGCCGAACGGCGGCAGAGCCGGGTCCACAGGCTCCCCCGGGCCTGAGGGCAAAGGCTGAACCTGCCACCGCCAGGCACAAGGCGCCTTTGAAGTCTCAAATTGTATCTTAAAACGTTCATGGGCATTTAGCTTTCTACGTCATGATATATTCATAGTTATTTTAATGTGAAATTTTAAAGATTATCTAATCTTCCTGCCATTCCAAATCTTCAAGTAAAATGGGTGCCCCAGACTGGGTGCCCTCTTGGGATTCGCAAAGTGTGTTTTGAGAAGTGTGGGTCTGGCCCATTTCACACACGAGGGAGCAGAGAGGGTAAGGGACTTGCTCAAGACCTCGTGACTGGTGCTAGTACCAGGACCAGGGCCCAGGTTTCTCCAAATCCAGGGCTCTTTCCATTCGTTCATTCATTCATTCATTCCTTCGTTCTGCCATTCACATCACACACGCTTGTGCGGAATCTGCAAGGTCCCAAGCGTTAGGCTCCAAGTAGTGAACGAGTAACTATGGCCCCTCCTGTATGTTACCTAGTTTACAAAGGTTCATTTTCTAGAATGTCTGCTTGGGGTACCCTCTTGAGTTGGGGGACTCCAATAGTCTTCAAAAGAGAGGTGAATAAAGCGTATCTCTCGGTGCTCTTTCAGAGTGTGAACTAGCCTACGACTAGTGAAAAGGGGAAGCGTAAGCTCCCGCCTTCCGGGTTGGAATCATTTTGCTAACAAGAAACCAGTGACCACAAACTCCTTACGACGGCCAGGAGGTCTCCAATGACCCGGCCCCTGCCCACTCTCCAAACTCCTCTCCTACCATTTCCCTCTCATCCGCCAGGCCCCATCCCCTGGCCTTTCAGTTCACTCTGAGCCACCTCCCACCCCAGGGCCGCTGCCCACGAGTTCCCCTCTCCCTACAACGCTCTCCCTGCCTGGCCCAGATGTCAGCCACCTCTTTCTCACCTTCTGCTTCTCTGTCACTGCCCTGGAGAGATGCACCCTACACAAATCCTGCTTCCTCATTACAGAACCACATCCATTTCCTTCATCATCCACTCAACAGATTTTATCTTGTATTTGTGTTGTGAATTGCAGTGATGTCCCCGATGCTTTAGCTGTCCCTGTGTCCATGTCTTTTGCCATGAGACTTTGAAACTTCTTTCACGGAAGAGATAGAGTCCATTTACCCACCCCTGGAATCTGGGCTGGCTGGATGACTTGCTTTGGCCAATAAAATGAAGGGGAAGAGACCGTGTGAAGCCTTGTGTGTTCCCACCGGCTCCCCTGCGATTCAGCCCTCACCACGGCACCACGCCCAGGCTGGGCAGTTGCAGACGGGAGAGACGGGAAGCAGAAAAGACTCATCCCACACAGCCCAGCCTGGGCTGCCACAGATTGACCCCCAGACATGTGAGTGACCCCAGCCACGATCAACAGAGCCACATGGATGACCCCAATGTGCATCAATAATAGACGCATTTTGCTGTATGCCACTCTAGTTTTGTGGCTGGTTGTTACACGGCAACAGCTACCTGAGAATTTGCTTAAATATTTTGTATCAATCCTAGACTATAAGCTCCATGAGGGAGGAAATATGTCTCACTTATTCACCAATGCCTTGCACACAGCAGGTGCCCAACAAACGTGTTGAGCAAGTGAGTATTCCTGCTTGGCAAGGCTGGTCTCTCGCTCACCTCTGGTCTTATCTCTTTTGCATTCTTACACAGGTGTAGGGGGCAAGACTAACTTCAAGAATGACCTTCTAGACCTCTCGAGGTCAGAGTTCGAACTGTCCTCTCTTTCTACCCCTGCGCACAGGGCTGGCCTAATCTACACCTACCGAGGGGAGAAGCACCAATACCTCAAAAATACCCCAGGGAGTATTACCTTTGATCCTGACTCACCTTTAATGCCACAGACATCTACCATCCTTCTTCTCACGAATGAAGACACATCAGCACCTCTGTTCCTTAGCCAAAAAGATGCTCCTCTGCCGGCTATCTGATCTGACTGCCCTAGAGGCCTTTCATTCCTACAGGCTACTTATTTCCCCAGCACATACAAGGGTCTGGGAAGATGGGAAGAAGAGAGGCCACCAGCCCTCGGGTAACCATGACAAAGAACAGACTCAACAGGAGAGATGTCGTAACAGGGCCTTTCCAGGCGGGTGTGACAGAGGGGCTCGGGGGAAGTACTTCTCTAGGGGAACCCTGCAACTCGTCCCTGGAGGGGATCTCAGACTGCTCTGGAAGCAAGAGTCCAAACTGGAGAGACAGGATGAGGAGCTTCATAAAGCTACTTTAAACAAATGCTCCTGGAAAAACTATGCCTTGTGGTTGGGGAGAGGCCTTCTCTTTAGTTTTCCAAAGCAAATAGTGGTACATGAAGCAGCCTGTTTTCCCTGTGGTTCTCACTGCCAGAACTCGCTAAGGTAAGACAGGCAGTCCCGCAGCCACCGAGTCGGGTGCCCCCACCCGCCGCCATGGCCGACCCCGTCCCCTGCTGAGCAGAACAAGCTCTAGCTGCTGTGGCATCAGCAAGTCCGCCACGAAGGAAGTTAGAGGACTACGGGACGGACCTGATGACTCCACCGCGCCACTCATGGGGAATGGAATCTTCTAGACTCTGGCCCTGCCTTTCTTTGTCTGCGCCTCCCAAGTGCATGCCCCCACCCCCAGCAACCACAGATTTATTTAGGAGGCAGCTCCTTCCTGAGTTGGCTCCTACGGTCCAGCTTGCTCATGACCTGGGTGATGTCCACCGTGTTGGCAGCTTCTCGAGCCTTGGCCTCTTCCTCCAGCTGCCTCAGGATGACGGGGCTCGGGCTGGAGCGCAGGTGACGCCGCATAAATGGGAGGCTGGCGCTGGAAGGAAGGACAGATTGGTGGTTGGTGAAAAATGACACTGCTTGCCCAACGATGACACTGTCACACCTGATGGGAGTGGGGGCTGGGAGGCCAGAATCTGGATTCGTTCCCTCCTTTTCCCAGGGAAACTCAGGCGGGGCCCTCAGGGCCATGTCCAGCCTTGGCTCCGTCCTCCCCCCAGGGAGGATGAGAACACAGTGAGCACCAGCTGCCGCCAGATTTTAGGCTGGGCTTGAGGAAGGCTGTTTGGATGGTGAAGATTACAGACAAACCTTATGTTTAGAAATGAGCTTGTTATCTTAACTTCCTGTAAGATCTTCATGAAAGAAGCGGGCAAGGAGGGCTCGGGTGCTGGACGCCCAAGGGCTCCAGCCTCTGGAGAGAGTTGGAGCATTTGGTTTTAAAAACCCAAGACTCTGGGCCAGGCGCAGTGGCTCACGCCTGTAATCCTAGCACTCTGGGAGGCCGAGGCAGGCAGATTGTTTGAGCTCAGGAGTTCGAAACCAGCCTGAGCAAGAGCGAGACCCCGTCTCTACTAAAAATAGAAAGAAATTAATCGGACAACTAAAAATATACAGAAAAAATTAGCCGGGCATGGTGGCGCATGCCTGTAGTCCCAGCTACTCGGGAGGCTGAGGCAGAAGGATCACTCGAGCCCAGGAGTTTGAGGTTGCCGTGAGCTAGGATGACGCCATGGCACTCTAGCCCGGGCAACACAGTGAGACTCTGTCTCAAAAGAAAAAAAAAAAAAAAAAAAAAGCCAAGACTCTGGGAGGGAAGGAAGGAGCTGGACTGTCCAAGAGGGCCAGGCCTCAGTGGACAGAGAAAGAGGGAAGGGCCCCGAAGGGAGAGGTGAGCTGGTGGTACCTTGCTCATGCACAGTATCTTTGGCATGTGTCAGAACCTTCTTCAGAAGCCAAACATGGATTCCTGGAACCAAACTCTCTCTACCACGGCCTTAGCAGCCAGGACAAAGCTCTGGGTGTCTAAGGGCTGCAGAGGGTGGTGAGCAGCTGAGACATCTGCCTTTGAGAGCCCACACAGGCTTGGAAAATATGCATTTCAGCAGCAGTTAGACCAAAGACCTAGGACCTACTCCAAATTTCTGGACTACATAAATGCCTAGAACTCTTGTGTCTATCCCAGGGAGGAGAAGGGCTTCCCTACCAAGAAGTAAAGCCTCATATTGGATCTCTCACTAGCTCCATCAAAGGGAAGGCTTGGAGCTAGGTTTAACTTGTCCCGGGAAAATTAAGTTTTACTACGTTGTCTTATACCTGTAAGTCATGGGACAAATTCACACACCCACTGCAGTCCCTGCATGGATCCAGGCCAAGCTTCACACTTCGCAAAAGCATTTACACATAATTCTCACTCACAATAGTGAAGGCAACATTACCCGACTGCAAAGCCCCACCCCAAAGCCAAGCACTCCACCAGCGGTTACGCCACCCCAGGAACTCAGAGCCCCAGCTGTGCCCCAGAAAAGATCCCAGCTGAATTCTCCTGTCTGCCCCGAATTATAAAATATCTGGAGAGAGAAGTACAAAACTCCCTTTCCTTTCCCCATTACTTTCTGGCAGAACTTCTGGAACTATTACAGCCCTTTCTTCTGGCTTAAAGGAGCAGCTTTTAAATCCCCAGGGACACTGAACTCCCTTCCTCACTCTGTAAACCTAGAAGAATAGCCCCACAAAGACCTCCTTTCTATCCTTTTCATAACAGGGTCATTATCCTCAAGAATGAAACTAAGTTGGGTGTTTTTTTAAGCCCTTTTGATAAAGGCTCTGGTCCAGCCCCCACCCCCACCCCTTTTGCATTGACTGAAGATGCTGGAGAAAAGCCCAGCGTGGGCTGAACCCGCGAATGGGAACATTTACTGACCACGGGGGGACAGGACACACGGCTGCCGGTGGGGAAACCTCTGCCAGAGCCCCACGACTTTGTTCAAACCGTCACTTGGTTACTCTTTTGAATCTTCAATCCCTGTATTTTTTTGCCCTCAAAAAAGAGTTCAATTTGCCCCTCGGAACATTATTTCATCCACCGTCCCAGTGGCTCTACAAGAAGAGATGATCCACATCTTCAATGAAAGTGAGAATGAACTAGTTAATGGACTTCCAAAAGGCAGTCCCCTGGGGCCAAAAGAATACTCAGGATGTTACTGCTGGCTTCCTCCCGGGGTAGCATTTTCTCTCGGGGTGCGATATGCTATTCTCTCTAAAGTCTTGGAACGATTTAAACACAAGGGTGTAGCTAAATTCATTCCCATACATCAGTTCAAGGGTGGAGAAGTACAGCCATTATTAATATAAAACCAGTGAGATGCTTCCATTTGTGATAAGGGGAATTATTGATCTGATCATCAAAACTCTTTCAAACCAGCGTTAAGGGAAACAAAACTCACTGGCAGGAATTACTAAAGAAATCTTGCTAGAGTGATTTCACGGCATGCTGAAGCAAGGGAGGCACTTGTCCCCTAAGCAGTACTCCCCCCCAGTCCCCCATATTTTCATCAAGCAAACATCTCAGTAAGAGCCATTTGGCTGCAA